ATCGAATCGCAAGAGCGATTTGCTTAGCACGCCAAGCCTTTCCGTACAACACATCGTACCTAACGAATCCAGATATGGACTATTGTAAAGAAGACACCTAGATGTCGTTATTGTCATCAATGAGCCCCAATATACGACGGGCAAGGTAATGTGTAGTGAGCTGCTGATGATTTTCCTTCCCCCTATTGTCTAGGCAAGTGTGGGGTTCAACAACTTTAGTTATCCTCCACTTGCCATCACTCTGTCTTCTTCGTGCATTTAACCTCCACAGACAACCGTTTTTGCATATCAAGTGGTACCTCAACTCCTGGTCTGAATGAGTGACGGTGTACGGTCTATGGTGGTACACAGCATAGTCCTAAAGGAAGAGTTTCATCTCTGACATTGTGTTGAATATCATCCCCTTCCTAAGGGGTTCTTTCTCATGGTTATACAATGAATTCCTACACAACTGGAGACCGGTATCACAAACTGCCATATCCGTTATGCTGACATCCCTATAGTTTGGAACGCCCCTGAAAGGTATGTTCTTGGACCTTAGTTGCTCAAGCTCAGTCGCTGTGTAAGGTGGTGGTGGAACATACTGTTGCGATTCGCTAATTCTAGCCCATGAATCATAGGGGTTATCATCTGCAGCCAAATCTATGACTAGTCTACCCTGAACATGGACACCATGCAAAACCTCAGTTGGTACTGGTAATGGCATAGTATGAACCGGTACTGGCATGGCATCAGTCGGTGTTGCCACAACATCTGTACCTCCTTGGTCATCATCAGAATCGTCTGAATCACTGCTAACTACATCACCAATCCTGTCCTCCTCCTCCTGCTCCTCATCTTTCCGTTCAAACTCATTCACATCGAAGTCATTGCTTATATAACCTACTGCAGTTGAATGAAACTGCTCCTGCGTCAACTGACTGTCCAAATCCATGTTATCCTGAGTTGCTTCCCCTTCGACACCTAATTCTTGTTCATTGCCGCCAAAACCATCAATGGACGGGCCGTCCTGCACACCATGCATCCTATACCCATTCTCCACGACCACCTCAGCCATGGGCACATTAGAACCTTGGAGAACCCTAGTGTAGCAGGACCAGTGAGCAGGGTCGCGCAAGGACATGAGGACATAGTGTGCCCTAGTCTTCCCAGTATCAAACCTCCCCTTCAGTGTGAAATCACCCCCAAACTTTGTATTCAAACGGACACAAAGATCGGTGAAGCTAGGAGGCTCATCAAACCATTCCAATTCTTCTTCCATATCCTCAAACATACCATCTTCTCTCCTAACACTTCCTCCGAACAAAACTCTAACACAACAATCCATCTGCAAAAACATTTTAAGAAACTTCATCAAGTCGTCAAAATCATCGTACGTAATGTCCATACTACATTATTATATTTTTAACTATAACTATACTAACTAATCAAATACTAAATCCAATGTACAACTAGAGTAAATAACTGTACTAACTAAACTACCTTACTTTACTACCTATACTAACTAATTATATTACGTATACTAACTAAACTAACTAACTTTACTAACTATACTAACTATACTTTGATAATTTTACTAACTTTATTAACTGTGCTAACTATATTAGTGGAGTACCTCGCTGCAGCGCGCAAGACCAGGCCGAGAGGCGCGGGCGCAGGCCTAGGCGGGCAGCCGCCCTGCGTGACCGGAGGTTCTGGCCGGAAGGGGAGGCGCTACTGCTGGCGGGGTGCGGTGGCACCGGTGGCCGGCGGCTCGGCTCGCTGTAGCCACGCACTCCACCTTCGCTGGCCGAACGTGGGTGGCTTGCTTTGCCGGCATGGGCGGTGGGCGGGTATGGCGCGAGACCGCGCATTGGGCGGACGCCGCCCTCGGCGCGGGCAAGCGCGCGGGCGCGGCCAAGCATCGCTTCTGCGTTTCTCGCGAAACGCCGACTGCTCGGGCAAGAGGCCGCGGCGGTGGTTATATCCGGCTCTGCCGCCACCACGGATCGGTATGTTGTAGCATCGCCGCCACCAAGATCGGTGGCGCGGTAGAGCCTTTCCACGTCAGCGGTCAGCGGTGATGGTCACCGCCACGTCAGACCTCTGCCGCGCCGCCATGCATGGCGTGGCACAGGCATTTGGCCGCGCCAGGACAATAGGCGCGGCCAAAAGTGTTAGTTTAAAAAAAACCGACAGTGTTAGATTTAAAATTATATTAAAAAAGGGTTAAAATTAAAAAAAATCACGGGTGAGATCGACCCTGCATGCAGCCGGAGGCAGTACCTCCCAAGCGGCTGTCGGTGCGCCCAGGCAAGCGGGCGGCGGCGGTTATCCCAGCAGCCTGCTGAGTTGCAGGCCCTTGCATGTGGACGCTGGCGAGCCCCTACAGATGGCCCGCGTCTAGCACTTGCAGGCGCCCGGACGGTGAGCCAGGATAGGCGGCCGTCGCCGAGGTGCTCCATGTATGCGAACAGTAGCAGCGTCCAGTTGATGTGATGCGAGGAGGACAGTAAAAAGACTAGGTTACCCATAATTACAAATAATTAATTTTCTTTACATCACACAACCGGAAAAGGTTTTTAGGGGAGGAAGAACCGCCCAAGCACTGTAACAAATCTCTAAAAATATACCCCACTCGGTCATTTAAGGTTGCAAGAGTTCGAAACAAGCCACACACTTGAGAAAACATCCAAGCCACCTAAGAGCTATATGACCTTCCAAGAAAATTAACACAAGAGTAGAGAATGATTAGTGCCATTTTTCCTAGTGTTAGGTGTTGCTACCTAGGGAGGGATCAAGGAGTGATCCTACCATGTACTGTTGCAAGCACCTTGGACCCTTCGAGGCTCATTGACACCTTGAAACCTTATAGAGGCTCAAGCTTGATCCTCTAGCTTGGTGTGTGGAGCGACGACAACGCAAGATGCTTGTATGAGGACATGGAGAGCCTTGACTTTGCAGCTTAAGATATGAAGTAAAGACGATGATGACATGTCAATATGGATGGGAGGCTGGTGGTGGCATATGCCTTCATGTATGGAGTGTGGGTGGTTCATTCAGCTTGAGCTCATCTCCTTTGGATTGTGCGCGGAGCTCGATCAAGAGCCATGAGCGATAGTGGCATGTCAAAGGAGAGAGATAGCCTTGGTCGCTACTCACTACTCCAGTGTGGACTGAGGTTGGCATTTTAGATATCCCTTGTGCCGATCATGTTTGTGTTATCTTCCCCGTATGTGTACTACTCTCTCGAACTCTGTTTGTACTTACTTGTATTGTTACTCTTGTGATTACCTTCCTAGAATCGCCATGTGTTGTTTCTAGGATTGGAATTAGTTGCAAGGCTTTTTGAGAAGTAGGACAGGCACACCGGATAAACCTATAGCACATTTAGATACAAATTATTGATATAGGTCCATCTTGTGTTGGTTTTAGAGCAAATATTTTTTTAGAAGCATAATAATTCACCCCCTATTATACTGTCACCACCAGTCGTTACATGTATAACAGTTTTATCAACAGGTTGTATTAGTAGCACATAAGGCTGTCTCCAACAGCGTAGGCATAACGTGAGCCCATACCCAAAATGCGTACTTCACAGTATTTTAGGATGAAAAACACGCTCCAACAAAGGAGGCAAACACATGACCCTTTTTGCGTGGGGGGCGACGCGCAACCCAAATAAGCGTCCTCTCTCTGTCTCTTTGCGTCTCCACGCATGCTCCAGGCCCACCACCACGGGGAAGGGGGCGACCGGAGCCCGAGCGAGATCTGCTCGCTGCCGCGGTACAACCGAAGAAGGCGCAGGCGGCCCCGGATCCACACGCGCCCCCACCGCCGCCGAACGGGAGCCGGGAGGTCCCGCCGTCGGTCGCGCCTGCGGGGACGCCGCCTCCATGGCGAGGCTGCGCTCGAAGCCCGCGCCCCCACCGCCGCCGAACGGGAGTCGTGGCCGCGGGAGGTCCCGCTGCCGGTCGCGCCTGCGGGGACACCGCCTCCATGGCGAGGCTGCGCTCGAAGCCCGCACCCCCCACCGCCGTCGAACGGGAGCCACGGCCGCGGGAGGTCCCGCTGTCGGTCGCGCATGCAGGGACGCCATGGACGCCGTCTCCATGGCGAGGCTGCGCTCGAAGCCGAAGGAGCAGGAAGTCCCTGGCGCCGGCGGCCGCGAGCTGCTGCTGGTTCGGGCTGACGCGATCTCCACCTGCTGCTGCTCGCTGTTCCTTGTTTGGGGTTGCTTTTGGGTCCGCTGTTGGAAAAGGGATGGTTTGGGTGCGTGACTCTTTTTATCCTACGTGACCCAAACCAACAAATGCATCTCAGGGCTGTTGGAGACCGCCTAAGGGCTTGTTTGGATGTCCATGTATCCATCTCAATCCATATGGACCATTCCAACACATATGGATTGAGATGGGCATGTAAACAAAGCCTAAGGTGGGTTGGTGATGATAAACGAAGGGAGGGATGTTAATTAGGCCACATGAATATCATGCGTTGCATATGCGACAGGTGGTAGCCACGTCGCCAATCCCAAACATTTTGTTTTTTTCTAGAACATTCTTTTTTTTTTGATAGAACAAAACAATCATTTTCTTAGTCAAGAAAAATGTACACCGTGATAAAAAAAAAGTGTTTTACTTGTAAGGAAAAATGTTGTGCCGGGTAGTTGTTTGGGTATTGGGAATTATATTCTCCATATATATATATATTTCCATGAACATGTCACCTCACCAAATCATTTTCTGCAGTTAGGTTAGGTTGTCTAAGAAATTCACTTATTGCCCATGCAAACCTCACATAATCTTGACTCATGGTGTTCGATCTCCGTTTAATTGTTTAACAAATAAAACGAAAATTGCATGCATATTACATTACATAGAGTTCAAGTTGTGCATACATAGAGTTTATGGAAAGGAATGCAAGAGGAATGGCTACTACTAGTAGCTAGCTAGTACACTACTTAAAACATGTTCGGGTGGTGGTTCAACGATGATCGATCCATCAATCTATCATATGCATCGTCACTGCAGGTTGTTGATGGTGTGCGGGCGCGGGATGTACTTGCGGAGCCAGATCTGGCGGTAGCCAATGGTGATCTTGACGGTGTGCTCGCCGTTGAGCACCAGGCTGACGAATGCCTCGCTCTTGAAGATGATCCTGCCGTACATGGGCGGCGTGCCCCTCGTCGTCTTCTCCATCAGAACACGGACGATGCAGTCGCCCCACTTGCTGCATATATTTCAGCATTTGCATTTGCATTTCCATGAATGGGCGATCGATCGAGGAGATAAATAAATAAAGATATATATAAACACCGCATGCAATGCAGCTTACTGTCTGAAGTAGTCGAATATCTCTTCACGGTCCACGGCGGGCTGCCCCTTTGAGAACGTGACGAACATGGAACGGCAGTCCTCCGGCACGGTGACGGGGCTGCAGGTGTAAGGCGCCTCGAGCTCCGACAGGCGACCGACGAGCCCCGTCTGGTAGCGGCGCAGCATGCGGTAGAGGCGGTCGTCGAAGATGAGGGCGCCGACGCCGTCGAGGATGTCCGCGACGCCGCGCACGACGAGGTCCTGGTTGAAGGCTAAGAAGGCAGTGTCGATGCCGCCGTCGTGGCACTGGCAGAGCGCGGAGATGAAGGGGATGGGCGGGAGCACGGCGGGGTGGTGGCTCTGCTGCTGCAGGCCGCGCAGGCAGTCCAGGATGCGGTTGGCCTCGCTGGCCACCATGCTGACGGCCGTGGCGTCCAGGGTCGGCAGGTGGCGGATGGGCAATGCCTGGTCCAGCCACAGCAGGAGGGCCACGGCGTTCCGTGCCTGCTCCGGGTGGCTACCCATGCCGATGAACCGCTCGTACACGCTGCGAGCGTCGCAGTAAAAGTAGAGCATGTCGCGGACGGTGAGAGTAGCAGTGACGACACCTGCTGCTGCCGCCATTGCTACCTAGCACCTAGCTGCAAGCAGAGATTATATGGTTTGATTGATCGATGGAAATCCTAGCTACGAATCGTCGATCGATCGGTCGATTCGATGCAAGGGAAGCGCTGTGCGGGCTGGGTATTTGTAGAACCAGAGGCCGGCATAGCTGCCTGCAGTTTATTTGGTTACATGATGCATCAATCGATCGGTTCCTCTTTCTCACCCTGCCCTGCTGGGTCAACTGTCAAAGCCGCGCGCCGCCGTTACATGCATACTGACAGCTCGTAAGCAATTCAAAATAAGGAATGGACAGCGCGGGAGACATGCGCGGTTTCAAACGGACGCCATGCATGGCTCAGCCAATCGCGTCGTGCCACGTCCAACAACTTATATATACGCGTATTATTATAAACCCTTTCACACCAATCTCCTGATTATTAGCAAATATATAAACGGTCACATATATATGAACACAGATTTAAATTTTGCCGCCACATCTCATTTTGCTGGCAGTGATTAACTACTACTTAAAAGGCAAATGCTACTACCAAGCTGCTTTTCTTTTTTCCTTTCCAAATTTGGCTACATTTCGAAACCTGTTTTTTTTAGCTATGTCTACTATATAATATATTCTTGGCATGCAGTCAATGGCTACCTTAATTCATCGATTGACCTTAGTTGTAGATAGATGAATCCATCCCAAGCCGCCCACCCCTCGCTGTCCATGGCGACAAATTATAACTAGCTACAACATCACTCTTTTACGTTCACAAAAGTAGCAAGTACTCCCTACATACGCATAGAGCCATCAAACACTGCCATCAGATACAAGAACCACTTAATTATTCATCATCTTTATAAGAAGTTTAAATCTCAAATTGGATGGTGAGAACGAGATTCCGCAATTGGATGGTGAGAACGAGATTATATTCCGCAATTGGATGGCGTAGTTGAGCGCGGGTGATCAATTGCTTCTTGAGTTCACATTTCTTTTTTTACATATAGGCCCTTGAGAAACATAAAGCTAACACATATAGGTTCATGTATATCCTTGACACATCCATATACTCCTATCACCACATCTTTTCACAAGGCCACTACTGTGGCAGAATCGTCCGAAATAACGCACTTACGGAGGCGCTTATCTTCCACTGACACGAAGCGCCCCGAGAGCGAGCTACATCAAGCGGGTTCCATCGAGCACACCCCGAGGGAAAGCCCAAATGATCAACACATTTTCCCCAAGGATCCAATAATAAAAACGAGTTACAATACTTAGTCCATTTCATACATCCAGAGTTCTTAAAAATTGTATTATTACATTACCAACTTCAGAGTGCGGAATATTAAACAGTGGAATAAAAATAAACATCAATTAAACATCTATCGATAATAAGCAAGGATTCGCCTATGCCCGCTAGAAGAATCCTTCACACAACGGCTACTCCTCAAGTAGTATCTGCAACAGGGGTAAATAAACCATGAGTACACAATGTACTCGCAAGACTTATCTGACTAGTGGGAATAATTTTCCGACTCCAAGGGATATGATAAGCTTTATGATTTGCTGGTTTCCCTTTTTTGCAGAAAGCAATACTAATAGTGGATCCTTATTTATCTTATTATTAGCGGTCATGATTAATTCTTTATCTAGCCACTCTATGTAAGCACATATTCTACTTTGAAGCAAGAGTTGGGCAAACAGTTCCATTTTATCACCTTTCATCTTTCAGTTCTTACTACGGTGCTAGACTGTAGACAAGCCGTACCGGATTACCCGGCGATTCATGAATCAATGTGCCCAGCTGGGTACCCTGAAACACACGCCCCGCTTGTACCCCAGGCACAAGCAGGACCAACCCATCACTCTCCTGTCACGGGGTCCAGGTCCCCGACCAAACATGGACTCCAAGCCTCTGCTCCTGAGTCCCGGACTCAGTGCGGTGCTTAGACCTCCACCATCCCCGCCTTCAATCAGTCGGTCCGGAAAGAGCCGGAACCCATGACAAGAGAGCAACGCGTCTTTCCTGCGCCCATACCTAAGTATGTGCTCGGGATAATAAATCTGTGACTTGCCTATAACCCAATGCAACGGCCGGTCCTTAACCGACACAGACAGGGAAAAAGTGTAACCAAGTTATGCCCTGTTGACCGCAGGACACAACCTCTTACACCCACAAATACCTAAACCATATCCCTACCCGGTCTCCAATTTCCTTTCCACCATTTTATCATGAGGTATAATAATCATCTATTGTCAGTAACGACAGGTTACTCACGCTACCGAATCCTGAGTAGACCAGCTACTCGACCTATACTAGTAGGACTCGTAGGTAAGTATATTTATGCATGTAGTTTTCATGAAATGCCTATAACATAAATGCACATCATATATATATATATATATTCAATGAGCATTAAAAAATAAGGGTTATACATCGAGGCTTGCCTTGGGCAGGCGGTGTGTCAACAGCGTCAGCAACGAACGGCTCCGGAGCTCCCTCCTATACGAGAATCTCCTCCTCATACTCCTTAATGATCTCCTCAAACTCTTGTTCACTCGTAGGAACGAACTCTACCAACTCGTTATCTACATGCATGAAATGATGATGCAACACTTAGTAATACGGCAACAGTAACTCTTAAAATATGAACACACCTATCAAGCTACTAAGCTAGTTCTACCGACTAAGGTGCTAAGTTACCTATTGTTACCACTAACAAGTATGAAACACGACATGTACTATCTTAACAACTAAAGGTATTCTTGCTCTTAATACCGATTTACTATATATATACTAAAACAATGAGTATTAGCTACCCTATATATCAGTCTACTCAAGGGCTAAAAAATTACAGTAAGCACATAATAATCTAATGAACCTACTGTAAAAAATTCATGGCTAAAGCTATCAGCAATTTGCCACAAAAATTCCTACAAATATTAAGCTAAATAATACTAAGCTTTCCTATATGAATTAATGAATATATCATTATCACAGATAACTGTAAACTAACTACACCAACAGATAGATAGCATTTTTGTAAACCTAACAAATTTTGTTTCACTATTTTTGGACATCTACAGAATTTACTATAATTTTTCAAAGTTCAGCTCAAAACTAAATTGAATAAACCTTTACTACTTTAGTGGAAAATGAAAAACCGAAATCCACCGCGCGGCCCGTGAGCGAGCGGCGTGGCCCACTCCCACGCAGCGTGCGCGCATACGCGACCCACCAGCGCGGCCCACGTGGTGCGACCCAACTACGCGTCAGCGGCCCACGACGGGGACACCCACGTACGCCAGTCATTTTGTGAAAACGCCCTCGGCCTACCCGGTAATAGCGCGAGCACTAAGCGCACTATTCCATCAGTCTGCGATTACGCAAAATGGCCCATGCAACAACCTGTCTTCACATCGAGGAGGTCCTTGACCTGGCTGCGCACGTCGGCGCGGCGGCCAGTGGCACCGATAGCCCCTGCCGGGCACCTGGGACCCTCCCCGCCCTATCTAAGGAGTCGGTACCTACCTAGGCGCGAACGCAAGATGCTGGGCGATGAAAACGTGAGCCAGGACGCCGCAGTAAAGTCGGACCAAGGCGGCGGAGCTCCTGCCGCAAAACTATGATGTTCCGGTTAGCCACAACGACGCCGGAGCAGTAAGGGTAGCGCATGAGCTCAAGGTACTCACCACGGACCCAGACGAGGTGGTGGTTCGACCAGAGGCGGCCCGAGCCAAGCTAGCCACGTGCGCACGGATGGTGTGGTGGTGCACCGTGGTGGCAAGACTGTGTCAGGGGTGGGTAGGAGGTGATAGCAACCTAGCAAGGATGCACCGAGTGATGAGTAGGTGGAGGCAAGGCGGGCGGTGCAACGGATCGAGCGCAAGCAGCTCTAGAGTGGGGGCCTTCCACCGACGCATGTCGATATGGTCTTATCGACCCGGCGAGAAGGAAGCTCCAAATTGGATAATGGCACGGCAAGAATCACTACAAGATGGGGTCGGGTGGCTGGCTGACTACACAACGGAGCCGTGGGCAAAGTTAATTAGACTGAGGTGACTCCACCAAGCTGAATTGAAGGTGTGGTTCCGGCGACCATGGCGACATAGGAAACAGGGGAAGGGACATCATGGCTTGGCTTGACGTTACCGTGGCAGGACATGGCTGTCAACTCGAAGTTCAAGCGCTCATGTGCTACAGGATGTTGGGGAATCAGCCAAACGCGCTCAGGGACGGTTGGCCGCATTGCCATAATTAGCAAGCCGACGGCGGCTCGGCCCTATGTGCCACAGTGGCTAGCGCCGGTCTAGGGAGAGGCAGCAGCGTAGCATCGCATCGAGCGCGGATGTGATGGAAAAGGCAGGCGGGGCAAGCCCACGTGCGTGCAGCCGTGAAGGATCAGCAACAGCAGTGGCTGCGCGACAGCAACGGTTAGAGCGTAGCGTGACTGGGGACGTAGCACGATGCGATGGCGAGCAACTGCGGCACTGCGCGATAGAAGTCAGGACTGGCCAAGCCATAGGCCAGCCGTGGCTAGACCGAGGACGGCCCTAACCCAGCCATGCAACCACGTGCTCGTGGCATGGCTGGGACGACCACGATGAACATGGGCACACGGTGACCACGCACCGAAGATAGGTGGCCGAGACATGAGGGCGTGCACGGGTTTTGAAGCACCAATTCCGGCCTAACTAGCCTGCCCAAAGCTCATCCACCTCAACAAAGCTAAAGAGGGTTGGTTAAGCTGCTAATAGGACCTACCCGCTTGAACCAAGGTGTAGTGGAGAGGGAGATAGGGGACTGGCAAGCTAGCAGTGCCGACCGGCATCCGTAGCTACAGCTAGGCTGTCAAGTTACTATTTAAGCTTTCCAATGCAATTAATTAGTCATCAAGCCAAGCCCTAACCAAACTAACCTTGCTACCATTAAGAAGTATAGACTTTGATGCTAACCACTGAGCAAAAATATAGCACAAGCCTTGGGCTAGGTTTTCTAGATTTAATCCACCAATAT